ATGGGACTCTAAGACTGTGGACCATGGGCTCCTCTCCAGTGCAAAGCAGGATGCTGGCATGCAGGTTCCTGAGCATTCCCTAATGTACACATTCCCTTATCACCACCGCCAGCTACCAGTTCCTGCTCTCATTGCCCCTTTCTAGTATCCCCGAGGTCACACAGGCAGGTGAAGGAACAGTGCCACATCTCTAAAGAGAGCAAGCAGCAAAGCTTTAGGAACCACACTGCCCAGCAACTGTCCACTGCCCAGGAGGGCCTGGGGAGGCTGAGAGGAGAGAGAGGAGCCCTGCCATCCCAGCCCTCATTAGCTAGTCACTCTGGAGAAAGTGCAATAAACAGAACTACAGTGAATAGAACAAGCACAGTAAAGGTTAAGCAGGGAAGGCTAAATCCGGATGAATCCAGGTTTGTCCACCAATTTCTTGTTTTGTGGGGGGGGTAAAGAAAGTGCACTGGTATTGAATGCAAATATAGACACAGCTGAGTCCCTCCCTCCTTGGCCACTTGGTCCAGAAGCAGGAAGCTCTTGTCCATTGCAAACACACAATTTCCGACATGTTGCTTTCCTCTCTGGGCTCTCTGGAGACAAGCATCAACTTTTGGGATCTCACAAATAGTGGACTTCTATCTAGCCTCTTATCCCTAGATCCCTCTGCAAAGGGAGAGGCAAGTGGGAACCCTTACAGTTCCTCAGAGTCACTTCCCTGCGCTGTGGCATCCCAGTTAGCTCAGGCCTGGATAGGAGGCTCCAGGAAAACCATTAAGCAGCTGTTGGCTTCTCCCAGCAGCAGTAGGGGATGTGTCCTCACCACAGTACTTGGAAAGAGTTACAGGACCTAGCATTGTAGATGCACCCATGGTTCTCGGCTGATAATTGCTGGGGTAAAAGGAAGCCAGCGCAGCCCATTTTCCTCTAGGGACCAGATCTGAACCCAGCCCAGGTGCGGATGAATGGCAGGGGGCTCAGGGACACCCCTGAGGACCCCTGGAGCTCTGGTAGGGACACACTTGCGCCTGACTTTCTATTCAAGGCAGATTAACTGAGAGTTAATCTGAGTTATGTAACCGCCACTCCCCTCTCGCGGTCTCATGATTCCCCAGCTCCCGTGAATTCCTGGAAGGGGTCTTAGAGGAAGACAGAGCCAAGCTGGCTGTACCGCTTTCGTCTGCTCTGGCCCCAGAAAGCCCCCGCTCCTGCCACCCCACCCACGTGTCTGACTGGCATCAGGCAGAAGAAACCCTCTCAAGCCAGACTTCAAACGTGAAAATCTAGATCAAGGATATATTTGGCTTTCCAAAGCTAATCTTTACATCAATTTGGTCTCTACTGACTTGTAACCCTTTGAAGAAAACTTGGCAACTACGTACTTAAAACAGAGGACTCTTATGTAACCCCAGAGAAGAGTCCCTGGGCTCTAGGGCCACAGCAGTCTTGGGGTCAGGGTTCTGTGTTTATCAGCTTCATGGCAACCAGGTGCACTCCCATCAGTATGCTCAGGTAGCCTGTGGTTTTCCCACAAAAAGCTCAGGGAAATGTAGGTCCCAGGAAGCACGGGCAGCCACATCTGCCAACACCTTTTTTGTGTCCAGGTCAGAGAGGCTGGGGCTGGGGCTGGGGCTAGGGATGGTGAGGCTGAGATAGGATACAAGTGCAGCAGTGGGGGAAGCAAGCTGTCTCCTCTCCAGGGACCCAGAGAGACTTCACAGGGAGGCGTGGAGCTTGTCTCAGCGTATGAGCAGCCTTAGCGTGTGAGTTGCCTTCCCCTGCTCTCCTCTCCAATGCAGAGAGAAAAGAAAGTAGGTGATTAAAATAAATATACAGTAGGGACACATTGGGAGTTGTCTGATACCCACTCCTCAGGCTGGACAGTGGACCAAAAGGTGGGGGTAAGCATGAGGGGAGGACGATGTACAGATGTCAATGAAAGATTTGAATTTGCAATGTATTTGAGCATTATTGTCCCTTATGAGTATCACAGTCTCTAACACTAGATGGATTCCAGTTGCAATCAATTTAGTAGCAGCAGCTGGAAATCACGCGAGCCAGGATTCACCAGGAGTGCAGTGTTTGTGGACGAAGCTTTTGACTTCACCCACAGAAGCTCAGAAGCGCAGCCCCAGCTGCTGGGGGGTTTTACAGAGTGGATGGTGACAGCCAAATCAGTAGATCCCTGCTATGAGCACCAAACATGTAGCACATACATAGTGAAGGCTCAAGAAATTGTGAGATGTCCTTATACATACCCAGAGCAAACAGAAGGGGAGACGAAACCGCAGGGTGGGAGAACAGATGGAGTGATCCCGAGGGACTTGGCCTGAAAAGGAGCCTGTGGCCGTCTGTTAGGGATCACAGTCCTGAGCATAGCCTACCAAATGTGTGCTCCCAGCTCCTGATGAAGCTACACATTCACAGCCCGCAGGCAAGGCTGCTGGACCAGGTGGCTAAACTCCAAACCCTGGGCTGCTCACTGGGTAGACAGCCCCCCAAGCTGCTCTGAAGTTCCTTAAGTGTGAGCGACAACACAACTCATTAAACTACTGGGTCTCCCTCATGGGCTACCTTTCTTCTAGCTAATGGAAAGTATCTTTGGAGCTTTGATACAACTACCACCATACACACACCAAAAAGAAGACATAAAAGCAGCTCAGTACGACTAAGCTGTTTGTCTCTCATAAAAAGAAAATGCTCTGTGTACAGCTCAGTTCCAACGCAGAAGGAAATAATCAAGCTTAGACTTTGTTTCGGAAGCCGAGCTGAGAAGCCTCTTCCAGCACTGTCTTCTGTCACCTCTACTGGAGGCTCAGTGTCTACCTGTCCTAACCAGATACCAAGCTTGACAGCAGGACACCCAGTGCTCACCTGGGGAGCCTTGGAGTGGCTGAGGTGAGGGGATGTCTTGACAGAAAGAATGCATTTCCAGATCCTAAGCAAGCAGTCACTGCTCTCAGTTTCTGTGTGCCCGATGTGATACAAAACCACCCAGATCCCCTTGCACAGGCCTGCTTCCTGGCCAGGAGACAACACTACCAGGTAAGACAAAGCTCTCCCATCAGGATCCCAAATAACTGACAGCTCATCCTGATAGGCACTTACAGAAAGTCTCCTGTGCTAACATGGAGGTGGGCGTGGGGTAGGAACAAAAGATCAAACTTCAAAATCATCAAGAGAACTATTTCCAAAAGCAAAATCCCAAAATCTTACTTGAGAATGCTTTAGAGGAATTATTTTAGTGAATTTTGAACCAAAAGAGAGGTTTTTTCCATGACATTTGCTCTCCTTTCCCCTTATGAAAAGTGCACTAATCTTTAAATCTAGCAACTTCACAATAATAAAAAAAAGTCTGTTCAAATAAGTTGCAATCAGGATTTAAGTATCAGGAGCACCAGGGCAGTTCAGGAGGCATCCAGAAGCTGAAGGCCCATTAGGGGCCAGCGTGGGGACCCTTTTGCTTATTCATAAGGCCCTTGGGGTCCAGCTGAGATCTGTGACAACAGGGAGAACAGCAGACAGTGGACCCACAAGGTACCTGGATCCAGGTCATCCCAGCAAAGCTGCCCTCACTCCATTTTGCGGACATCCACAAGAGCCCAAGCCTAAACCTTATCTAGCCCAAGCACACTCATTCAACCCCAGAAAACACCGAATACCCAACACCATCAGTTTCACCATTAACCTCTTAAAACTCACAGAGAAACCAAACCGGCGCCAGGAGAAAGAATGCCAATAAAAACATTTGCCGGGTTCCACTAGATGTGTTCAACAGTATTTAACCGTGGGTGTGGAATTGTCTTATAAATGAACGGTAGTTAGAAAACATTTGGCATGCTCGACCCCCTTCCGATTTCTCAAAATCAGGACGAGCATTTGATCCTCCCTCCTTCGCCCCACTCCCTACAGCTTTACCCCGGGGGTGGGGGCGACTGCCTGCTCCTGCAACTACCAGCCCCTTTGGTCCCCAACACGGGAGCGCAGTGCATCCCAGTGGACAAACTCGGGAACCGCACGCTATCTTTCTCCGCCTCCACCTATGTCCTCTCAGCTCTAGGTTCCAACCCGGGACCCAAACGCACCGGCTCCGCTGAGCCCTCTGGCAAGAAGGAGACGTTCTGAGGCAGCCTGCTCCGCAAATGGGGACCCCTGCGCTTTAGTGTGCCCTAGGTCGGTCAAAACAGGGGCTGGAGAAGCCCGACTGCCCCGGCGGGCGGGCAAAGTTGGCTGACAAGGGTCCTTCTGGTCACCTACACACAGGCTAGAAGCTCGAACCCCCCCTCCCCCCGTTCTGGCCGATCCTGGAGTTTGGGACACGAACAAGTCCCCAGGCGCGCCCGCGGGTGTGTGTGCGTGAGTGTATGGAAGGGGGATGCCTGCCGACGCTCCTCCTGAGCCCCAGTTCTCCCGCCCCAGATCCCGCCAGCTGTGCGCACCCGTCCGGCCCGAGGTCACCCGCAAACAGCTGGGTGAGCAGCTGGGAGCCTGAGAAGCCCGAGTTCAGCTTCAGGATCCCAAGGAAGGGGAAGGTCTGGAGTGAGTTAGTGTTCTTATTTTCTCCAACTCCACCTGCAAAGCTCTCGCCGAGAGCCTGGAGCGCTGGTTTTCCCCGGCAACCCCAACCCCTGCTCCCGCCGCGCCCAGTGGCCGGTGCCTCATTCTAGGTGCTGGGAGGAGGCGCGCCGGGGCGGCTGGCCAGGACACTGCGCTGCTGGCGCCGGGAGCTGCAGGCGCGCCGGATCAGCCCGGTGGCCCGGTTTGTTGGGTCGGGCGCCCCCGCCCGAACCCTAGACTCGTAGAGCACGAGAGAACCGGCCGCTCCCTACTAGGTCGCAAGGCTCAGGGCTCCTGCGGATGCTCCTCCTCGTTTCCTGGTGCACTTCCTTGGCCGCTTACGGTAAGTAAAGAGGTGGGTCCCTTTATTTCCAACATTAAAGAAAGCGCCCCTTCGGCTCAGCCCAGCACCCACACGGACCTTCACACACCCCGGCGCCAGCTGGGTCGCTCACCTGAGTCCTAAAAGCTGTTGAATCCACATGGTCACGTTTCGTGGAGCGGAGCCTCAGACCCTGCTCGCCCCGGCCATCTGCGCGGTGCTCGCGCCGGCTCGCTTTCGTCCCGCGGCGCCGGTCTCCGGCTCTCGGTCG